ATATATATATATATATATATATATATATATATATATATGTATGGTAGCGTGTGCTTTTATCCCCAGTGCTGAGGCGGCAGAAGCTTGCAGATCTCTGGAACTCACTGGCTCCCCAGGCTGTTCTACTTTGTGATTTCTAGAACAATGAGAGATCTAAAAACAAAAATCACAACAGTGGATGATTCCCCAATAGCAGCAGCTGAGGTTGTCCTCTGACCTCCACTTTCCCCGGTTTCAGAAAAGCAACTGAACAGCAAGGCTGATGGCATAGGCTGGCCATCTTAGCACTCAGGAGAGTGAGGAAAGAGGATCATGAGTTAGTTCAAGGATAGAGAGACCAAGTGTATCCACCTTTCTTCCCCATAAAAGCAACAAACTATGGCCATTATAAAAGTGGTTTTGACAAACTAGAATAGAACAAAACAAACATACAAATGGGTGGGGAGGAGGGAAGCCAAAGAAAAAGCACAAGAAACACAAAGATGCAATGATTCACATTCATAAAGACACAAAATTCTATAAAAGTATAATATAAAAAACCATAATGTATAAGCAAAAGATCTGTAAGGTAATTTTATTTAAAAAAAAAAAAGCAAACAAAGCATTATGAGTCAACAAAGCAAAACCAAAGAACAACCTTCAAGAATACCATTGACTTGATTTTGTGTTGGCTGTCTACTGTTACGCATGGGGCCTGCCTTTAAGTGTAATTTGTATACCCAGTAAGACTCCATTAGAGAAAACAAAGTTTTCCTTTTTGAATGGTTGTCAATTGGAGACAGCTTCTGTGGAGGGATGGAGGTTTGGGTCCATGTCTCTTCTCAGTGCTGGTACCCCATCTGGCTTAGACTTGTGCATACTAGGTATGCTTTCATAAACTCTGTGAGTTCATATGTACATCAGCCTTGCTGTATTTAAAAGCCTTCGTCTCCTTGGGGTCTTCCATCCCCATTAGCTCTTAAAATCTTTCTCCCTACTTTTCCAAAGTTCCATGAACACTATTGGGAAGAATTTTACGGAGACAATCCGTAATGAGTGTTCCAAGTTCTCTCACTTTCTGAACATAGTGCAGTTGTGGATCTCTGTATTTGTTCTCACCTACTACATGAAGAAGTTTCTCTGATGATGGCTGAGCAAGACACTGATCTGTAAGTATAACAGAAGGTGATTAGGGGTAATTTTATTTTCATATTCCTCTTGCTGAATAGTAGTATTTGCCTTTCTCACAGGTCTATGACCTATCTAGTCTCGGATTCTCAGGCATGGGTTTTTTTCTCGTGGAGTGAGCCACCTTAAATACAGTCAGATAGTTGGTTACTCCCACAACTTTTTTGCTATTATTTACCAGCATATTGTTGAAGCAAATCACTATTGTAGATCCAAAGTTTTTAGCTCAGTTGGTGCTTATCTTTCTCCTCTGGTAGCATGAAGAGTGCCTTCTTCAACCATGAACTAGTCAGTAAGTTTCTAAGTGGGCACCAGTATAACTTTTCAGTGTTCAATGAGTAATGGCGGTATTGTCTTCAACAATAGGACCTAACCATCAGTTTCTGGTGAGTCACCAATGGCCTTGGCAATTGGTTTTTTTGTGGGTTTCCATGGGGCATCCAGCCAACAACTCAATTAGATGTAAGCCATCTCTAGCACTAGAGGTTTCATTTGGTAGTAACAGATGCCTAATTAGAGCTTTGTCTTCCATTTCTTGGTGATTTGATTTATATTTATTTTATTCATGTATGTATATATTTTAAGAAGCTTCTATGGTAGTAAGGCTTCAATAAGACCCCTCAAATGGCCCTTAGTTATAGCTGTCTCTCCCCATATCTCCTCTTATCCACTTCTTTCTTCCTTCTCTCCATTTAACCCCCAGACTACAATCATTCCTTCTTTCTGAGCATTCTCGCCCTTCATACATAACATTCCAATTTATTATGTAATCTCTCTCTTTCCAGTCTTCTAGTTTTCTACAGACTCATTTTCTCTGAGTATTGTAAACATTTGGAAAGCAGAACCAATGGGTTATTATCTCAGTATCGCCTTCAGGACCTGACATCAACTGTTATCCTTACAACGTCTGGTCAAAAGTACCTCTTGCTTCTAATCTAAGCTAATTAGAAGGTCCTCTTGCCCTTATGAATTAATCAAAGGTTCTTGTCCTGCAGTTATTTTGAAATTCCTAATATGATTTTAAAAAACTACTTTTTCTGAGAAAATTGAGGCAAATATAGAATAAGCCATCTATATGGAGGTACCTTAAAGTATATGGTACACACTAAAATCCCAAACCAATTACTACTGTATTTTATTTTATAGTTGAATATGACTATTTGGGAGAATATGAGGGTCACATAGTCTCTACTTCAGGGTGAATGCCTCTTATGCAATTTCCTCCCAAGCCTCTCTCAAGCCCATTTTACCCTTACCAATTTCTTCCCTGGTGTTCACTTAAGAGTGTTTCTATTTTCACCACATGACTAAAATCTGATAGTGTTTTGGTGTCCACTTTGCCCTTTCTGGTATCTATTCAATCTCTTCCTGTATTCCATTTTAACCTCATTCATTGAATCTTTTTCTCATCGTTTTCTGGTCACAACCTCCAAGAAGTTGGCTAGGATTCATAAATATTGTTCCACCTTTAGAAAAAAATCCTACTCTACATAGCTTTAATGTACTCTGTTTAATCTTAGCATGTTTATTTTAACAGCATCTAACTGTATAGACACCCATGCTTCCTGGAGTATTATAAAATGAATAAAGTTAATTCTATGATTATAGGTATCAATTCTGTTCTTTGCTGAGTTTTATATCTTAAAAGTAAAATTCCTGCCTTTTATTAACATTTTAAAATAAAAATAATAAAAAAGTACAATTCGTATAAAATCTTCTCTGTGTTCCTAGCTGTCTAAATGAAGGTATTTATCAGATTATTTCAGATATAATTTTATTCATCTAGTACTTTCCAAAGAGGAAAATCCAAAGGCAACTAAAATTGACTTCCAATTCCTCTACCGATTATCAACCACAGTTGCATATTGGAAAAACTCTAGGAAGTCTAAAACTTAGTGGCACCAGAGTTCCACCCCAGACTAACTCACTCTGGAGGGTAGCCTGGGCATCTGTTTTTGAAGCTCTTTGGCAAAAGCTAGCACCCAGCCAGAATAGAGAAGTACTGTGTCTATGGACATAAGTACAAAGAAAGAATGGTGATAAGCAAAATATGTTAAGGGTCAGCACTTTGGTTGATCTCCAACCCTATATCCTCAGAGGCGGGTGAGAGTTCTTTCTTTGGCCCAGTTCTGGATTTCTGCTTGTCCAAATATGAGATAAAAGATCAGACCAAACATGTTGACAGCAGCAGACAGGAAAAACACATTCCTCCATCCTGATTCAGAATCCTGAACACAAAAAATACACATGAGTTATTAATTTATAATTTTTTTCCTACCAATTATACAAGTCCTCTACTTTGCATATTGCAATGCTAATCAATCACATGCATACAAATGAGGGAGCAAATGCATAACACACTTAGTATCCTGTTGGCCAAGGAGGCTCATGAAACTTGGGAATCAAATGACTCTAAAAAGCACATTAGGTCCTATGATGTGGTAGCTATTTCCCCAAAAGAAAACAACTTAAGCAATACTGATGCTTCTCCAGCAATCTGGATTTCAATAACTATAAAAGTGAAGCTTTACAATTATGCTGAAAATGCATAGTTAAGGTCTGTTCTTCTTGCTTTGTTTCGGTTTTGTAGCTATTGTCTTCAATCAGTTCAGCTCCTTATATGGACCTCTTCATACAGTGTGAGCTACACTTGACTTGTTTGATAAACTCTACTGTCAGGCTTATTCATTGTTGTCATTATCATCATACTGAATTCTTATACATTTACTCGAAAGTTAGCCCAGAATCTAGGTCACCTAGCTATACTAAAAGCAAAACAAAACTCTGCTTCTCAAGCTGACACTCCAGTTCTTCCATCTTAGCCTGAGTCTTCCATTACTGCCTTCCCTCTGGCTCACTAGACCACACCTGGAGGCTGAGAGCAAACCTCCCAGCCTATGCTGCCTAAAGTTATACTGCTCTCCTCTCTCCTCTGTCTACAGATTGATGTCTTTATTAATTAAGACCCTGAGATACTAGTTTTCTCTTTAGTGATGCACAAACTATCTACAATTAATTCACTTGAGCTCCTTATGACCTCCTCTTCCTTCTCCCATCTTCATCACTTACTAATTCTTTATATGACTCATTCACTCTTGTCACAGTGAAGCCCTCTCTCTTGTCTCTTTGGTTGTGAGTTTAGTCTTTACCTGCTGAGCTATCTCTCCACCACCTCTCATTCTTTTTACCTCCTGAAAGTCATAGAAAAACTGTTATTCCCACCCAAACAGCTCATTTTCCCAAAATGAATCTGATTCCCTTTGATGAAGTCAGCTTTTTACTTTTTTTTTCCCTGGGAAGCATGGCATGCCACAGTCTAATTTTCATGATGAATGTTCAAATCCATGCTTGCTTCCCCTGGCCACCTGTACAATCTTTGAGAGCACAGTGTATATTTTCAATGCCTAAAATAATACCTGCCACTTGCAGATGTTCAATAACATGCCCAACCTGACTGATGAGGAATCCGGTGGTGGTGGACGAGATGATTCCTGCAGTAAGACCAAATCCCCTTGAGATGCCCATGAGGAAACTTGCATATCTGTGGAGAAGATGATTTTATGTAGAAAACCATCCATAGCAGATGTTCAACTTTCATGAAACACATTTTTAATGGCAAGGTCACTTGACCTAGTAGTTTTCATTACCTAAAGACATCCAAAGAGATGTTTCTTTACCAACTTTGAAATCATCCATCCATTGAATCAATAGCTAGAATAACCAGAGAAGTAGTTTCTGTGGGAACTTTCTTCACAACACTGTTCAGTGCAGTGGGCAGTTTGCATAACAAACAAGTATCAGCCTCCAAATCTGAAGCCAAACTGTACGCCTTTAGATCCTGGCTCTGCCCTTGTGTGACTACAGGGAGGTCTCATGTGCTTCAGTCTCCTCTCGCTGAATTAGGGGCTCATAATAGGATCTACCTAATATATTCGTGATGATGACACATATTGATTTCTGAGAATGTGTTAGCATAGGTCTGGCTCGTGGTAAATAGTCTATGTGTTGTGGCTGATATAATAAACACCCTGGAAATTTCCAAAACAGATATCTGTGGCCTTTTCCCAAAATACACAGTTTAATCTCTTACCAGGGAACTTGAAAAACTTTCTCAATCCAGAAATGAGACACACGGCCATGGCTGTGAACCAACATTTCTAGTTATGTCACTTCACCTTGATCTAGTACACATCAAAAACAGACAGGCTTTGCACTTTGGCATGGACACTGAGATCTACCATCACTTCAGTAGTCTGATAAAGGCAATAGACAGGTAAAGGCCTTACCTGGGGGCAACGTCTAGGGTGTTGATGATGAACCCTGAGTCACACAAATTGCTGGTCCCAGGAATGAGTATCAGCAAAACAATGGTTGCTACGTAACTGGAAGTCACAAAAGGCAGGGCCACAGCGCAAAGGGATGGAAGGAGGAGCCCTGGAGAATGGGGACATGTCAAGAGGCTTCTCAACGCACACACAGGAAGGGGAGTAGTTACCTGAATCCACACACCCATCCTTACCCAGGGATGAAAAGAGTTTTCGAACTGTGATTAAGCTGAGAAGATTCCTGGATAGAAGGAAATCTGCCATCTGACCTCCTAAAATTGTACAGCTTGAGGCAGCAATGAAAGGCAGGGAGGACAGAACCCCACTCTGAAAGAAGGAAATTACACACACCATCACAGAGCAGTATAGGGCACTAGTGTTTATCACACAGACCAACCTTAGCCTGACTTCCAATATTCTGAGTTGTTTGAGGAAAACTAGCACCCTTGCCACACTGGAAGGGCACTTATAAGAGAACTGACACCCGAGAAAAGGAATGTCAGTTTTGGGGGAAAACTTCTGTACCAGTAGGCATAGCAGAAAACCATGACAATTAAGACCCCATATGCACAGTACCTCCACCACTCAGTAGTCCCAGTAGTTATGTAACCCAAGGCAAATTATCTCACCTCTGAATGTCCCAGTTCCACTATTGTGAAATGGGAATCATGGCACGGCCTCTGTCACCACCATTGTGAAGGTGAAATGATTCTATACACTGGAATATAATGGGTAGTGCAGGACTACAGTCATTATTGTCACAGTCACAGTAGAGGAGTGTACTCACATCTCTGATGTTAACGTGGAGCACTGTACTGATGTACGTCGGTAGGTATGTTATGATTATGGTGCAAAGCCAGAAATGACTGAAAAACCCCATGAAAATAGCCCACAGTGGCAGGCATCTGACCATTGCCTTTATGGGGATGGATCTTCTGGGAGAACTAGACTGAAAGAAAACATCAAATCAACATCGGCATTAGTATAGGTCCCCCTAGAAACAGTGCTCTGCATGCTCCATGGGTGGAAAGAGAGGATGCAGAGTACCTGCTGGGCCACTGAGGATGTGATATGGTTCTTTTCCCTCTCACTTATGCATGGGTGATGGATGGGGTCATCGTAAATCACTGTGAACCACAGGACACAGCAGACACAGCCAATGCTACCTGGGAAGTAGGGATGCAGTTATACTTCGGGTCGATTCAGATATTGGAAGGATAATATTTTGTCTGAAATATCACAGCCTTTCTATCACACACACCAACTCGGGATTGTTCCACCATATAGACCTAAATTTCCCTTTTCTCTTTTCCACCCTATAAAACTCCTTCTATTGAACCTTTTTAGATGCCAGTTCTCAAATATAAACTTGCTTTTTGTCCATGTCAGAATCTTGGAGATAATGTGAGCATGACTAAATCAGTACAGCCAAGGCTTAAGGATTCAGTGTTTCTTTATAGCCATAGATGGTCTTAACAGTAACTTTTTGGCATATGTGTCATTGTCTCATTTTGGTTTGTGCAGTTGGAGTTGAAAAAAAAGTAGTTATGGATGCATGAAAGCACTCGCCACGACGTCATTCTTTGTGGCACAGAAATATTTCTAATATGTTTGCAAGAGGTTGCTATTTGTATTGAAACTATAGATCTCTTGGGGAGTCCAAGCAGAAGCAGTTTTTCCATGCCTGGTTAACATGTGTGAAACAAAATGACAGGGATTCACAGTGTTAGTGAGAAAGCTCTGCCTCCCTCTGCCTCTGGAGTGCTGGGGTTAAAAGTGTGCACGACTGGCATCATTTCAAAAATATTCTGTTAAAAGTTTTGAGAACCAGTTGTTCCTTACATCCTCCTATATTATCAGGTTAATCTGTTGTTTTATTGGGAACTAAATTTCAGAGAGTATGATCGCCAAAGCAATCTGGAAAACATTATATAATGGATCCTTTGATCTAAACATTTCACAGTTTAGTGAGACAAGAAACATCACACATCCTGAAAAGGAAGTGTCAATAAAAGATCATAGAGAGGAAGACCTGATGGATAAGCTTCAGAAGGCTCCATGAAGGAAGGAACATCTGAATTAAGCTTTGCACAATTCACTTGATAGAGAACAGACTAAAAGCATATTGGATACATGTAACAATTATTATGAAATGTGTAGACACACTGAAGGTGTTCTCAATCAGCTTTGATGTCTTAACTTCACAGCAGCAGGAGACCAGGCACTTGAGACACTATGGTTGAGGTGCTGGGAGGTGTGTGTTGCAGACAGGGAAAGCTTTGTAACTGATTTCTCAAAAGCTTCTCAGAAAGCTGTGGAGCGTGATCTCATCTACCCTGTGCATGTGGATTGTCCAACTTTCTAGAAAGGTGTAAGATCAAGATCCATGAACTCTACTAAGAAAGGTACCAATCCTCAACATTCTTCATAATTTTCCATTTAACAAAGAACATGGAGAGAGGCTGAGTGATGTCTATCTTAAAACAAATGCCTGAGAAGTGGAAGTGTTACGATGTAAGAGACAGTGACTCACCAAAGATATAGAAGATAAAAGGCCAGCCCAGTGCCTGTGAGATTAATCCCCCCACACAGAGGATGATGAAGGACCCAAATGCTGCCCCTAAAGGGAAGACAGGGAAGAAAAAGTTTATGGAGATAGCAGTGGCTAAAATGTGAACATTGTCCCTTTGCTGATTTGGAATTGTTGCGTGATGAGAGGATTTATTCCTGTTCACTAGACTTTCCAAATATCATGGGAAACAACAAGCACTGTACTAAACAACAGCTTACTTCAGTAGCTCTGTAACAGCAATGTGGCCAACTTCTAATTTGTCAGCTTATCATAAAAGCTCTCTGCAAGTACAGCTCGTGCTGGTGGAATGTGACACTGGGTGCAGAACTGTAAAGACTTACCAAAATTAGAGAGGTACAGTTCCTGTGTTCAAAATTAGAGAGATACAGTTCCTGTGTTCAAAATTAGAGAGGTACAGTCGCTGTGTTCAAGGGGATTTTGCTCTAATTGGTGAGAGAACAATGAGCAAAACTTACTATCACACATTTATTCCAACTGGATTACACTTGGACCTTGGGGTCTACAATGACAAGAGCAACAGCCAGGCATGATGGCATATCTCTACAATCTCAGCACGCAAGAGTCTCAGGAAAGAGGATTGACATGAATCTGAGGCCACTATGGGCTACATCAATAGTACCAGGCTAGCTATGGCTATCTAGTAAAACCTTGTCTAAAATAAGTAACAAACAAATAAACAAAGCTGGAAAATTAAAGCTATACATTTTACAGATTCACAGTAGGAAATGCTTTTTACATAGCAATATTACACATACTTAGTGTACACAAACACTTACACATACAACCACATATGCAAACCTCAGAAAGGTTTCATGAGTTCCTAGTCACCTGCACAATGTGAAAGGAGTCCATTCTATCTATTCTGTTCTCTATTCTATTTCCTATTCTATTCTCCGTTTTGTTTTGTTCTGTTTTGTTCTGTTCTGTTCTGTTCTGTTCTGTTCTGTTCTGTTCTGTTCTGTTCTGTTCTGTTCTATCAATTCCATTCTATTCTCTGTTCTATTCTATTCTATTCTATTCTATTCTATTCTATTCTATTCTATTCTATTCTATTCTATTCTATTCTTCTATTCTATTTTCTATTCTTTCTCTCCTACTCTGCCCAATTCTCTCTGCTCATTTTCATGGTTTAAGTCCTAGATTTTGCTTCCACTTAATTGGTACCATAACACAGGTCTATTCTTCTATTTGAGAAGTGATATTAGAATGTAAAGGAAATAATAAAATTACAATTACAATGGGGACAAATAAAATTAAATTAAATGCAATAAAAATATTAGAAAATTGTACAAAGAAGGAAGTAAATATTTGTGGTTTTAACAAAAGCAGGGGTTTGGAATCTTTTAAAGATATGAACCTGTGAGCTGAGAGCCATGGGGAAGTGATGACAGCTATGGACAACTCAGCTACCAGAGCCTCGCCGGCAGAGAGAGATGAGTGGTCAGCATGTTGTAGTAAATTGTCTGAACATCTGTCAGTATAATGAGAAGGTGAGTCTTTATTCTATGGTTGTAAGAGGGCATATGGAAGATAATCATGCTAATGAGTAAAACTGCCTCAGCAGTACACAAAATAATTTAGCATTGATGGAAAGAAGAAATCCAGCATGGAAGAAAGATTAGCAGATAATATTTGGAGATAGAGGAAGTCATGACAGTGGTGGTCGAGAAGCAAGCAGGAGGGTTTCTATGAGGGAACAGACTGCAGGGTGTAGCTTGTGCTGGACCCATGAGTGAGCTGTTGATAGAACCTCAGATCTGTCCTTTACATATGTGTTCTCAGGTCTACAAGCTGCCGTGCAGACTCCACCGAGGGGGCTTTGGTGAGACCACACATTATGAGGGTCCTCCTTGCATTATGACCAAGAATGTGTACTCTGAAGACAAAGTGCCTGGGCTTAAATCTAGGTCCTACTACTTACTGTTTATTCATGTTTGGGCCATTTACTTACATACACTAGCTCCCTTCTCTGGGAGAAAAAAGCACAAAAATAGCATGCACATAAGAGAGTTGTATGAGTTACTTAGCTCAGAAGAGTAGAATGATGTGGCTATTTCACCTTCCCGTTGATTTTGCTCTTGGCCTCTCTGAGTCCCTATTTTGTCCTCTGATATTTTCTAGCAATGTGAGTGTAACAACGTATTTTTCATTTGTGCATTTCTTTTTTTCTTTCTTGAGACAGAGTCTCAAGAAAATGTAATTTTCTATAAAATAAGCCGAGTTCAAACTCACAATCCTCCTGCCTCTACCTCCTCAGTATTAGAATGACAAGCAATAGCCACTATGACCAATTCCATTTCTACCTTTCAGCATTTTTCTCCATCAGGCCTTAGCCTTTGACTGATGTAGGTCACAATGCCCTGTGCTACTCCTGAGCTTGAGGCTTTACAGCACAGATGTTTGTTTCCCCTTTGTTATACAATTGTCTTATATTGCTCTATTTTTTTCTTGATTGTTGAAGTCATCTGAGTTGCAGAAGAACAGAGCAAATCACAACCCTCTGGTGCACATATGCGTCCTCACCTGAGCCTGCAATGCTGGTGAGCTTGCTCCGTTCAAGTGGTGGAGCCCACTTTGCCCAAATTGTGAACTGACCAGTCCATGCCATTCCCTGCAATAAAAGTATTGGGATCTCTGTTGTTTTGCAGATGTAGGCAATCTGTATCCCACTCAATCTGAGAAACTATCTGGATACCTGTGCCATCCCCTGAACTGTGCGAATGACGATAACCAAAATCACTCCAAAGTCAGCAGCCAGTGGAGTAAACAGCGTGAGCAGGGATGAGATGAGCAACCCAGCACCAAGGATCTGCTTTGCTCCCAGTATCCCCGCTAAATATCCACTTGGTATTAACGTCAGTATGATTCCATAGCTGATGGAGCTAAAGATGATCCCCTGGGTCTCTGTGCTCCACTGATAAACAGCAGCCTGGGAAAGGAGGAAAAGGTTAAAGTTAGCAGTAGTTAGTAGGGCACCCTCTATGCTAAGAAGTCCTGACTGGAAAATCTACTTTATACTCAAAGTTGTTCTATATTCAAGAGATTCTATTATAACTCTATTATAAATACTTAGTATGATTTAGGGGTTTTTCCCTCAAATTTTTACCTAACTTATTTTTATTTATGTGTTTGTTTTTACAAATAACTAACTGTATCCCTAATTTATTTCCCTTAACGGGAGGAAAAAATTTAAATGTAAGAAATAAAGAAAAGAGATAAAGGTACATGATTATGGAGTTAGAGTGATGTCTTGGCTGTTAAGGGTATCTGCTGCTCTTGCAGAGGACTAAGGTTTGGTTCCCAGCAGCCACTTGGTGGCTCACATTGTCTGTAACTTTAGCTTCAGTGCATCTCATGTCCTTTTGGCTTCTGAGAACATATGGGACACATATTTGGAAGGTATACATACACATTGGCCAACACTCACACATAGAAAAATTAATAAATCTTTGTTGAAAAGATAAATGACACATAGATGAGAGTCTGAGAACAGCAGGGTGGCTTCTGTGTTAAAGAGCTGCCTTGGAAACTTAAGTGCCACAGACTCTCATTGAATAAAGGGAACATTTCTTTGCTGATTTCTTATCAAAAGTAACTCCTGATTGAAAAATAAAAATCACATTTAGTTGTTATGTATGGTCTGGCTGGAAGAATCAAGTTACTAAGATATACATTATGAATGAATAACTCTCAGTACTTTAATAGTCTCTAGAGATCTAGATCTGGAATCATGTTATAAATTACATCACCAAAAGATGTAAAACAAGAAATACAATATTAACTTAAAATGACTTTTAGCAGCCAGGCAATGGTGTAACATGCCATTAAGCCCAGCATTAGGGAGGTAGAGGCAGGCAAATTTCTATGAGCTGAAGGCCAGTGTGATCTACGTAACAAATACTAGAACAGGACAGTCAGGGATATCTAGAGGGTCCCTGTCTCAAAATATAAACAAAGAAAAAGAATATTATAACTCAGAGTATATGATTCATGTTAGAATTAATATTTGAGGATAGACATAAATAGGACAGAAAACTTGAGGAAGGAAAAACAGTTTAGGAAGATCCAAGAGAGGGAGCGATTTTGAGGCATCTTTTGAAAACAATGCCTGGAATTTGTGTGAAGGAAGCAAGTAAGACAACATTCCTATTGGATAAAAAGCACATTTAGATTTTCGGCATCTGGTGTATGAACTGATAGTGACAGTGCCTGGCTCTGAGCACGGAAGTTCCTTGGCCAACAGTGGATAGGAATGTGTGGCGGAAGACCAGGCTCTGGTGGTGGGGCACAGCATGTCCAGACACAAATCAATTAGCTTGAAGGTGCCTTGAGTTCCCAGGCACAGGAGTGTGGATGAGTAGGTGAGTTATAACACACTCCTAACTCATGGATTATAGGGATGACATTAGGACTGCATAGTAAATGACAGGTTAAAGGATGCCTACAAAAAAAAGCGTGTCTTTATGATTCTTATACAAATATGCAATGAACCTGTGATAAAGGTACTGTTTAACTCATTGATCAGTGAGGGAACTGGTAAAAATGGTAGCTTATGAAAAAGGAGGCTGGAAAGAGCCACACATATCTAAGCTGGACAGCAATGCTGGGGAGAATTTAAATAGATGGCGAACTGCCTTACTCAGCTACAGTCGGGGAGCTGCTGACTGGAGAATCGTGGAGGAGATTCCACAGGACTAGAACCACAAGCATTTCTCATCATCCTATAGAATTTGCTGAGCTATAAATAGCTTTAAAAATTATGCAAGCTGCAGGCACTCAAATAAAATCGGGCAACCCAGAAGGGTTCCCTAGATAGTAGCTAGTTTTTCTCTGAAGAAACTCAAATAAGTTTATTATTCCTATTTTTAATTTTTTTCTTTCATTTGTCTTACACCTTCTCTATAATGTTACTTCAATGAAAGATTATTATTGTCATCACAAACTGAAGCAATGGCTGAAGAATCACTTCAGTCCTTTTCTGTTTATGGTTGAATTCTATAATCTGCAGAGTCAAGCCTCTCTCCCCTGTTCTTGTCTGTTATTTTCTGTCAGCACAGAGCCCTCTCTCCATCACACTCACCCGGTTACTAAAGTCCTTGATGCCTCTGGTCCGGTTACTTAGGAGGTCCATCACAGGCCCCTCAGTGGATGCATTAGCTGGGTCCTGATGCTGTGTGCTGTTCACCATGGCAATGATGGCAATGCTCAGACTCACACGCTGTGTTATCATGGTGAAGTTGGAGAAGTGCATGATGAGAGCTAGCGCATAGCGTAATGAGCAGAAACCTGACCCTAGGCAGAATACAGTTACACAATGAGCACCCAAAAGGAAACTGCTGCTTTCCATTCCTGCCACGGCTAAACATGAACAGACTCCAGATGACACCAATCAATACTACTAGCTTGGTTTTTGTTTGCTTTTGTCCTTTTTTCTTTCTTCTTTTCTTTTTTTTTTCATCCTGGAGATTGAATCTAGGCCTTGTATCTGCTTACCAGGCAAGCAGCCTACCACTGAGCCTGGGTTCCAGCCCCTTTTAGAGTGCTTTTGAGACTGGTCTTGTTAAGTTGCCCAGATTGGGTTTGAATTTACTTTGTAGCCCAAGAACTTGCCATCTCTCCTACCTCAAACTTCCATGGCAGCCAAACTATAAACCAGTTGTCATCAGGCCGAGCTAATCCCGATGCCCCCTTTTTACCAACATATTTCTTCCAAACAGTGTTGCCATATTATTTTGCTGGGTTTAATAAGCATGGTAAGTTTGGAATCTTGCAAATATTCTTTAAAAGTGTGGAGACAGATGGTAAGGAAAGGAAAAGCCTTAATGTAAGGATTCTGTGTTACATTTCTCTAAAATAAGACACTGGGAAGATAATGGCAGAGCTGATCATGAAAGGATCCCTCTGCATTGCAAGGAAGCAGTCCATCTCATTCAGCACGTTCATTTCTCACAGAGCTTGTGAGAGTTGACATGACAGTTGCCTTTCAAAGACAGCACTTCCATGTCTGAGGATTTTCCTTTGAGCTGTCAGAGAAATAACATTCTTCTCCTTTTCCATTCTGAACTCTCTCCCTGATGATGCCTGCTTTCTTCTCCTTGTTTTCATTTTTGTGGCTCAAACTAGTCTAGAACTCCTAGGCTCAACTGATGCCCCCAACCCTGCCTCTTGGGACTTCAGGTGTTCACCACAATGCCCAGCTGAGACCTGATACTTCACAGTACTATGGGTACTTTGCTGACTCCACCCCACCCCCACCCCGTGCATTACTAGACCCTACCTCCATGGTTTTTCAGCTTTTCAAACAAATATGGAGAAACAATTTTTCTAAACTTATAGGTAAAAGTGATACAAAATAGTAATGAACAGTATTAAACATGTATGTATTTATGCATTCATCATATTTTCAATATGTATATGTATGTATGCTGTGTGTGCTGATATTCTATATCTATTCCTACTGAAATAAAGCAATGGGTTAATATTAGGATTTCCATGTGACTTATGGGTTAGGCTTTTTTCTCCTGCATATTTGGAAGACTGTGACTTGTGGGACATAAGCAGGATCTGTGAAGAAACAAAAATAAATGGAAGAAATTTCCAAGTAGTCTCACAGGTAGAACTAGTTACCTGCAAATGAATTATTTTGATAAAATTTAAGTTGCCAAACTCAGAGGAAGTGGCCAGACATTTGGCAAATGTGTTCCACAGGGATCTGTAAAATAGCTAAACTGGCTGTATGCCTTTAAATCACTTGTTCAAAACTCATTCCATTCCTTGGATATAGGATTTTTTGATCATTTGGTTCAATTTCTGCAAGATTAATCCATGGTGTCTCCTAACAATAAAAAGCAAGTGACATCTTGGGATTGAGGTTGAATCTGATGTTACACTAAGAGCATCCAGGGAAACAGTATAAAGAAAAGTCAGGGAGAGGACAGCAGCCATGGATGAAGTAGCTGGGGCCAAGCACTGAGTTTTCTATAACTCAAACAAGGACAGCACCTTACCTTTCCTGGTGGTAGACTTCTCATCCATTTTGTTTCTCTGGTGAGTGATGTGCACTTTGTGGCGTGGTTTTCCTCCCCCGCAAATCACTATCACCACGACAGGCTTTGACCTATGAGAAAAACATCATGCAAGATGTGGTATATTTACACAATGGAGTATTACTCAGCTATTAAAAACAATGAATTCGAGAGGTTCCTAGGTAAATGGATGGAACTAGAAATTATCATCCTGAGTGAGGTAAGCCAATCACAAAAGAACACACATGGTATTCACTCACTGATTATTGAATATTAGCCTAGAACCTTGAAATGCCCAAGATGCAACTCACAGGCCACATGAAGCCCATAAAGAAGGAAGACCAAGTGAGGGTGATTCGGTCCTTCTTAGAAGGAGCAACAAAATACTCAAGGGAGCAAATATGGAGACAAAGTGAGGGACAGAAACTGAAGGAGGGGCCGTCTCAAGACCACTCCACCTGAGTATCTATCCCATGTGCAATCACCAAAGGTAGATGCTGATGTGGAAGACAGGAAGTGCATGCTGATAAGAGCCTGATATGGATATCTCCTCAGAGGCCTTCAAGAGTCAGACATATTCAGAGGCAGATGCTCACATATAGCCATTGAACTGATCATGGGGTTCTCAATAGAGGAGTTAGAGTGAAGACTGAAGGAGCTGAAAGGATTTATGGCACCATGAGGAGAGCAACAATACCAACCAACCACAGCTCCCAGGGTCTAAACCACCAGCCTGGGAGCACTTAGGGGGGGATCCAGGGCTTCAGCTGAATATGTAAAAGTGGAGGGCCCTGCTGGGCATAGGTGGAAGAAGAGAACCTTGACCTCATGAAGGCTGGATGCCCCAGGGGGTGGGAATTTTGAGGGTGAGGAGGTGGGAGTGGGGGGGGTAGATAGAGGTTACATCCACAGAGAAGAAGGAGGAGGGGCGAGGGGATTGGGGGTTCCGAGGGGGTGGTGGGGGATGGGGTAAGGGGACAACATAGGAAATGTAAATAAATCATCCAATAAAAAAAAAAAAAAAGAATGACACACAGCATCCTCCTGCCCATGCTGCCTCTAGGATCAGGAAGAGGTGGGCATTTGCTGCTGTTTTATTTGTTCTTTATGACTTCTACATCCTGACTCTTATACACTATGACTATGCTTTCAGTGGACTGTGTCTTTAGGAGAAATTCTAACTGTAAATCCTTAGAGCAAATTCTCTAACCATCCAGTGGTGCTATGAAACTAAGAGAAGGAAGCTGAGAAGGTATAATCAAACCACAGCAAACCATTCAATCCTAGGAAGTACCATTACTTAGAGCAGACCACAAAATAGAACAGTCAAGCCCAAGAGCTGAAGAAGATGGTTCTAGAACAGCCTTTACTCTCATCCTGACCATTTTTTTCTGTTCCCTTTGGGTAAGCACAGTGTTCTGTGTCATCTTCTTTAAAGATGCTACATGACCTTCATGTGCTGTGATGCTCAGTGTTAATGGTCACCTTGGTAGAATCTAGAATCACCTGGGAGGTAGGCCTATGGGTTCCCTTGTGTGAGAGTAACTTAATTATGTTAACTGAGATGAGAAGGTTGAGTCACTGTGGGTAGCACCATTCCCTAGCAGGGGACTCTGAACTTTGTAAGAGCGGAAAAAGTGTTGAGCATGCATTAGTCACTTCTGACTGAAAACAGATGTAATATGAGCAGCTGAGTCAAACTCCTGAAGCCTTTACTTCCATTGTGTGATTAGAGTGTTCTTTACTACTCATAAAATGAGCATTTTATTGAGCTGACAATTTCTTTAAAACATTTATAAAATTATACTGAATGAAGGATTTCTGCTGCAATTATAAATTAATTTAGCTACTTTAAAAAGCAAATAAAATTTATGGCTCCAAATATGGACATGTTTGATTCAGTATTTGCATCTCTTTAGGAGGGATATATATATTTGCTTCTTTTAAGGAGGAATATACCTTCTAAGAATCTTATAAATTATATCTATTTTAGACTGTATCTTCAACAACTGTTAAAAAAAACACCTGTATCATACTTATATTTTGTAATTCAGGATCTTATACTTTCTGAACCCAAGTTTAAAGAGATATTCCCACCCTCTTAAATGACATTAGAATAGAAGGTGATCAGGGAAAATATAAATAAAGAATTTTATCCAAAACTATCTACTGTGATGTGTGCACATGTGAATGTGTATGTGGAGGCCAGAGGTCAGACTCACATGTCATTTTTCAAGAACTTATCTTGTTTGTTGAATTAGTGTGTGTCACAAGGACCTGGGTTTGCAGACTGGGCTGAGCTGGCTGGTCAGCCTCAGGGGTCCTCCTGTCCCTACCTCCCTACCACTAGGAGAACAAGCACATGCCACCAAACTTTTGTATTGTTTGTAGGTGCTGGGGTTTGAACCTGGGTCTCTTGCTTGGGTAGCAAACACTTTACCATTGAGCAATCTCCTCAGCCCAACCATGTCCTTAAAGAAAGGTTAATAGATGGTTAATACATAGGAGTCAAATTAGTTAATAAAGAACTATTAAACATCTAAGTTTTGAGATATTCTTGGGTTTTTTTTTTGCTTTTGTTTTTGTTTGTTTGTTTTGGTTTTTTTGAGACAGAGTCAGTGGACTTGGCTGACCTTGAACTTCTGATCCTCCTAGTTCAGCCTCCTGAAAGCTGGGGCTAATTGAAACTGTGTTGTATCACAATGGACCCACATGTAGGCTCAACTGCTATCAAGAACAGATGAGCACCAGAGCAGATGTTGGCTGGTTGCTCTGAACTGACAGGCTTGCAAGTGTAACTCGAATCTGGATGAGGTAAAAGACACAGGTCTTCTGCTCCAGGTACACACTTCACTGGTGAGAAAAAGTGTGCAGAAGACTGGACAGTCACCTCATCCTTACAATTCACAGAGTCAGCACACAGTCTCCCAAAGATCAGACTGTTTTTTTCTACTTATTAGTATAGCCTCCTTTTTTTTCTTAGCATTTTAAAACTTAAGTTTAAAAAATAATCACTAGCTTCATTTTGAAATATTCTAAGTTTTAATCATTTGTTCCCAAGGGAAATTTGATGATAGACGTGTAAGTTGAATTTCAATTTTAACATTAAAGAAAAACTCTTCAATTATTTCTTGCTTTTTTTTTTCTAGTAGTGTAAACCTATTCCGCTCATTCTGTTTGTTTTAGTCTTATGCAAGGGAATGAATGGTCTTAACAGCCTTTTGTTTCTCCCAAGGATTGGTCCTTGTACCACATCTGTGTCAACCAAACACTTTGCCTCTGCGTTACATTCCACTACCACTGGGCAGAGAGGGATAGAGGGGTGTGAAAGTGTGTGTGTGTGTGTCTGTGTGTGTCTGTGTGTCTGTGTCTGTGGTGAGGGAGTCACACAGCTTCTACTGTATTCAAGTATTTGAATTCTGTCTTAATAGCCTTCTGTTGTTTTGTTGTTAATGGCTTCTCCTTTTCATAAGACAAGTATAAAAATTGGTCATTCCAAACTTTAGTCTTTTCATAACATGATAATAAAAACCATGCTTCAAAAAATCATCAGGGCTCATGAAATCACAAGCCATTAATGTCATTAATGAAGACAGTACAGTCATTCTGAGTCTAACTGTAAACCATTGAGACCATGGAAATATCAAAGACCTTCCCATTCAGGAAATAATAGTGAGTCTTAGTGTCAAAGTTGCAAGTAGACCTAGAAACACAGCTCAGGTATAGCCTCACACAGTTCCAATTAAGTCAAAGCAAAATTTATATTTACAAAAGATTGGGACAATATAGGTTGTATTTGAGGAAAAGGGAAGACAGGCATTATGGTTATGCATATGGTATACATAATAGGCTTTCTTAGAGAGGAATGGTGACATAGACATAGTTGTATAAGGGGCTTCATCCTATGTTTAGCCTAGAACACATTACTTTGTTGTAATAATGTTTCTAGTACTCTTTGATTTCTCCTAACAACCTGCTTATCTTGCATAATTTTTTAGCCCAGTCTCCTGATTTACTCAAAGCAAATGTTGCATATTGTTCAAATATCAGGAGCCAGAAGTTCAGAGCCTGAATTCCCACTCTGTGCAAGCCATAGCAAGTTTCATAAACTCTTAGGGCCTTAATTGCTTCTGGCAGAAAGAGAGGATGATATTACTTCATGGGACTGTTTGCATGAAAAGAAGTATGAGGTGCACCACTCTAAGGAGTTCTACATTGTCAAATGTCACTGACATTAACACCAGCAGTGACAGCCACTGTGTCCCCACTCCATGTTAGACCATCTCAGATCCATGAGCAAATACAGACATATAGCAAATAAAAATATTTTGATAAAATGTTTGGTATTAAACTTTTCTTCTGCCTTGGATGAGAAAGTGCTCATTTAGCCACAGACTGCCAAGAACAAGAGACAAAAATAATCCCCAGAGTGTAAGGCAACTCATTAGCTTTCTACTTTTCTGAGGAACTGGTAGGTCACTTGACTAATGTATTCGTAAGTTAAATCACGGTTTAAAAAATATTTGAAAACCAGAAGTGGAAAATTCTAAACAGACTTATGCCAAAAAGCCAAGTGCATTTCAACCGTAGCGCTATCCATAGGGGGCTCACAGCTCAGGTGTAGCCTCCCAAAGTTCCATTTCCTAGTCGGGATTCTCTCTGGATAGGATGTGAGAGATATCTATCCTCAATAAATCCTGTCCACTATGGCTACCCATCATAACAGGTACCTACCATGGTCTCCCTGGGGATCTCTTAACTGTACAAAGGCAGCAAACCTTCCAGAAACATTCAGTTGTCTTGATTTCCATCTCACTCAGACTTCTGCAAGTCTTCTCGTCTTGAGAGGCAAGATCGAGTGTATTGAAACCAGAAAAGACTCATTAAGTACAGTCCCAAAGCTAAACCTTGTTAGTACTGGTTCAGTGTTTCATTCGGAAGCCAAAGCCAATTGTACAAATCTACATACCACAGCCAATACTCACAGGTTCTTCCAGCTAGTGACTACAATCCACCGTGGTCCTTGACACCAGTGACCTCTCAAACCTTAAAGTCTTGACTGGATAGTTATTTTGTAAGAAAGCCTCTTCTTCTCCAGAACCAGACACCATTCCCAAATGGAGGTCCTCAGGCAGCAGTTGATGTGCTTTTGAGTTCTCTTAACATTACTTCCTCCCTTGAATGCATGTCTGATAGCTTTGTAATTAACATCCTATTTAAAAGAAGAAAAACACTCTCCCCATTAAACTAGTATTTGAAGCTTTAGACTAGAAAGCTAGCTGGGAAAAAGAAAAAAGAAAAAAAAAGAAAAAAAAAGAAAAAAAAAGAAAAAAAAAAGAAAAAAAGGCGTTCCTATGTCTTCCTCTCTTCACAGGGAAACGTAATGAATCACGTGGGAACAGACGACGCCAGATTTGACCCTGCGCTCTTGGGACAAGAGAGCCTGCATTTGGCGTGGCTGCTTAATTTTTAACTTCACTTTCAAGTTCTCACCGACCTAGTGAGTATCTCAACGATGTCACTATGTTTTTCTGCTTTGAACTATGCACACCGCCATTCAGTCAACAAGCCAATTGCACTGAAAGTAGAAAGTGGCGTGGAATGAAAGCAGGAGTGGGGCCCCTGAGCTGGAATCTCTGAAGTCGTCCCCCTTTGCTCCTGGTACTTTCTTCGTCTGTAGACAAAGCACCCCACCTGTTAGAACTGGCTTCTACATTAAGAAACAAGGGTTGAAATGGGCACAATGCCCAGTACTTGATGGGACAAATGAGATGACGTCTATCTGTTAACAGGTAGATGGCCTTAACAAGATGCTCCTGCAGAAGGGAAGGATCCAGTCAACCAGCTAGAGTGTCCTCCGTCCTCTGGTGCCCACAGGGAACTGATGGCAACTGTGACTCTGAGAATTCCCCTGTTCCAGACCTTCATTTTCTCTGTATCCTCCTGATACTGAATTCCCAGTCCTATCATCATGGCCCCCCAAAAAGCCTATACTGCATAACTCCTTAGCCAGTCTGACTGGTCTCTATTCATTTTCTTTATTTGAAAAATTCAAACTATAGTAATTTTTTATTTTTATTTGTGTGACTCTAAGGAGACCTGAAAACCCCTGGAGCTGGAGTTATAGAAACCTGTGACTCCCCGTCATGAGAGTTCAGGAAACTAACCTCAGTACTTCAGAACAGTATATGTTTTTAACCACTGAGCCATCTATCATGTGACACTTTCTGGGAGAGACATGAAGAAAGATTTGCTCACTCAGATTGGAAACCAATGACAGACTAAAGTAAGGATACCATCAAAGTCCCGCATGGCAAACTCCTGAGTTTTATTTTGGTTATTTACAGGAGTAGAGGTGAGTGGTTGCATATAAGAGCTGCAACTCCAAAAGCCAAGCCCAGCATGGGTGATAGCTCACAAGAATTCAGAAACCTGGAGTGTACTGCACAGGCACCTCAGCTTCTGAGCCTCTTTTAGGCTGCTTAGCTCCTCTCTCTCTCTCTGTCTCTCTCTGTCTCTCTCTGTCTCTGTCTCTCTCTCTCTCTCTCTCTCTCTCTCTCTCTCTCTCTCTCTCTCT